TACTGGCTGTGTTGCATGTAATATTCATGCTAACCCAGTCCAAATATTAAAATGTGATCGTGCTAATATACTTAATTGTGTTTTTGCAAGAAGCTTTTCTTATTTTTAGTTTTTCCTTCATGCCCAGTAGCAACAAGGAATATTTTTCTAATTTATCATAAATGTTAGGAAATATGGCTCTAATGGCAGACATCACATTTGTAACTATGTTATGACAATGTGTAAGATGAACTGTTAACAGTTTGCGTAAGGTGTTACCTAAGCCTTGTCTTCTGCAAAACCCTATACATAAAGATTCTATGTTTTCTTTGCACTGACTATGCAATGGTGCATTTGTCCCAAGGTTTTTTTTCAGCTTGTAGGCTAGTATTATCTTCCTGTTTTTTAAGCTGTGGTATCACTGAAGGACCAGTTTCACATCCAAATTATGCACAATGGGCTACATCCTGGTGTAATTCCCTGGATTTTAATGGCTTTATACTAGGGATGATTTAGCTCTGTATAATTGACACTGCTAAGCACAGAATTTGCTTAGCACAAGTTAGAAAGTAAGAACTTCTTGTACTGGCCAAAAGCCTTTTGGCTTTCAGGGTAATAATAATGCAATAATAATATGCTATGATACATTTGTATGTTAGATTGTTAGTGGTAAACAATAACATTTCAGAAACTACTTAAAAAGTCTCAATAAAGTTGATTAGTTCAGTTATACTGACAGTAAAAACTATGCTACATTTTTCATCAATTATGAAAATGAAATTCAGAATTAAAATGGAATATTTGGACTGACTGCACATTAACTTGCTTTTTCTAGCCTTTAAGAAAATACAATAAGCCTTTAAGAAAAATTGTATTTCTGGGCATAACTAGGAAACCATCCATGTATTAACTACAGTGTCCCTAGGAGTTGTGTATCAGATTCCTCAGAAACAGCTCCCCTGATGTTCCTGTCTTGTGCAGGTACAGCAAGTGGAAGAGAGGAGTGCTACAGTACTTTTGCAGGACTCTCCACACGCACCCATCCACTTTGCATACTCCCTTTACAGACTGAAGATTGTGCATATATGAGCACAGCTAATCCATGAGAATCTAAAGCTATGAGGTCTTTAATAGTGACCTGCAAAAAAGCAAAACAAACAAAATGCCTAACCCCGCCCCCCCCCCTACTGGTTTTCCTGCTTCGTTGCTTAAAAAAATGGTCTAAGCGGGCTTTTTCTCTGGTTGCTTTTCTATTAACAATTCAGATCCTATCTGTGCTGCAGTATTTATCTTCAAGGCTAGAAGCGCTAGGCTTGTTCTGAACACACAAGTTACTCTGGTTTAACTAAAATTGATTTAACTGAACTGTTGCAACACTGTCTCTGAAAGCTATGGAATCAATTTGTCAGGCTTAAATCTACTTATTTTAGTTTGAGTGGAACTAATATAAATTTGTTGAAAACAGTTACAAGTTGCAAGATAGGAGTCTGTGCCAGTTAAACTGATTTGAAACCAGATTTTGTTGGAGCAGGGCAACATTTTTTTTTATTAGCCTATACAGCTGGCTGTGGCAGCTCTTTTTCTCACCAGGTCTGCTAAAGCTATTTACAGCCATAATGATGTTACTAAGACAGGAGGGTGAGTCCCCAAAGGACAAGTCACAGAAATTGTTTATTTGTTTCTTGCAGCTCAGTCTAATGATAGACTGCTCACAGGGGCAGATCCAATATTTGGCAAAGCGGGGTGCAGGAACAGCTACTCGTGCTGCTGGGTTGGCTCCCAGCTTCTTTGCATCATCTCAGCCCAACCCCCCTGCCAGAGAAAGCAGGGGAGAACTTAAGGCCCAAAAGCAAGCAAGAATCCCACTCCTTTCCTCTCTCTTGTCTGAGTTGTGTCCCCTCCCAATCCCTTCTCCCTTTTCCCCCCATCTGCTCCTACTTGTTTCCTCACTGGTTTCCCAGGCTGGGGGAAGCTCTAAAGCAGGGGTTGGCAACGTTTTTGGGCTGAGTGCCAAAACCCCTGCACCCTCCACTTGGAAGATATTGGCATACTAGGGGTAGATGGTGGGAGAGCCGTGAGGGGCCTGATCCTTGTTGGGGCAACACAGCCCTGGCTCCTGCCCTGCTGTGCTCCTTGAGGCATGTATGCAGCCACTGCCAATAACAAGCTGAGCCAGGGGTCTGGACCATGGTGCAGCTGTTTGCAGCCTTGTGGCTGCCTGCTACAAGCAGGCCAGGCTCTGGGCAGGTTTCTGCTGCCTGCCACAGAGCCCAAGCTGCTGACAGCAGGGCTTGTAGCCTTCCCACTGCCTGCTGCAAGCAGTCTGCTGGGCAGGCCCCTGACTTCCACCATGGAGCCCGAGCTGCTGACAGCAGGGCCTGCCACCTGCTGCAAATAGCTCCGGTTCTGTGGGAGGAGGCGGGGGCACAGGACGGGGGCCCAGGCTGCTTGCAAGGCTGCATGCAGCTGCACAGGGTCCAGAGCCCTGGCTTGGCTCATTGCAGGGCTTGCAGGCTCCCTGCTGCCTTACCCAGAGCTGTGGTATACTGAGCAAAATGGCTTCATGTGCTGTGCACTGGCATGTGTGCCAGGGGTTGCCAACCCCTGCTCTAGAGCCACTCCTGCCTGCTCCAACTGGGCTGTACAGGGTCTGGGATCAGTTATGAATGTGACAGGACAGCAGCAGTAGCAGTGGGTGGGGTGGGGGGTGAGAGGTGGGTTCCCACACCCTGCACAGTCCACCCAGAAGCAGGCACAGCGAGGGGGAACCATCCTCATTGCTACTATTGCTGCCTCTCTCAGCTGAGCCTAGCCTGGCAGTATGGTACAGTAAGGTGTAGCATTATTTCTATCAGGAGGAATAATGCTAATTGGCCTTTATTCCGGTTTATTAGCAGGGTGGACTGGTATTAATAGGTATTACAGTAAATAGTTATTCCTGTAATGAAAAGTTCTTCTGCAAAAATTGTGTAGAGGCTGAGCCTAGAAGACCTTTCAGTAAACTAGGGAAGATTCTGTTTGAGGTTTCCTGCAGATCTGATTACAGGTCTTTATTTGCATTACAAAACTGCACACTGGATGGTTAGGCACAGCTCTTCAGGAGTAAAACATGGACCTTCTGCCTGCTTTGTCTGTATGTGTATATTTAGTGGAGGATTGCTTTGGTTAAAAAAAAAAAAAAAAAAAAAAAATGAAGTACCTCTCAGTTCTCATGGATTTGCTTACAGGCCTTTACTTTTTGTTTTCTCAAAGGAGAAGTGATGTTTTTCTTATAATTATTTTATTTACTGTCCATACTAGCTCGGTGTGTTTCAGTTACTAGAATTTGCTCATCATCATGTCTAAGAGGAAGCAACAGCAGCAAGAATAGTGTGTTGCTTACCAGATCTTTTTATACGGTGAAACTTAAGATTTAGTCTCCTGAATTGTAAGGACTCAGGACATTGACCCAAGATAGGTTGGAAGTCGGTTCTGAAATGGTCATTTCTCAGTATTATGTGAAGGAAAACTAGCATAACTTCAAGCAGAAAGTATGACTGGCTTTTATGCTCTTTTTATTTTGAGCTCCTGGTGTACAATGGTTTAACTTTTGAACAAGTACTTAGTTACAGGGTCAATATAAGTATGGTATAAACTGTAATATCAGCCCCCACTAGACAATCCCTATTAGTGACTGGTTAATAGATTGCCCTGCACTGTATGTTAGGTTTTCTTCAAAGTAAAATATTTTCTTACACAGTTGTAAAATACTAAGCACAACAGGACCCCATTCTTTTCTGTTCTCTTTGAGTGTTACTACAATATAAAAAGAATCAATGAAGAGAGTGTTTTTTTTTTTTTTTTTTTTTTTGTGTGTGTGTGTGTGTGTTTGCTTAAGACTAATTCAGTAGTTAAACAGATCAAATCAATTTTATTTGTAACCCACTGGAAAGTGCCACCTTTTTCTCTCTCTTTCTCTGCCTTCACATTGTGTTCTTGATGCATCTTCCCTGTTTTTACCTTGATCCTGCAATTTGGACAATTAATGCAGAATGGGTAGAAGCCCAGAGTACAGAGCCCTGAAGTCAGTGGGTTCTGTGTAGGCAGAGGGGTCTACCTGTGCTACTATATTTGCAAAGCTGGGACTGCATTGCAGGTTTCTGGGGAACAGATTCTCCTTCTGTGGCACCTTTTTCTTCAGTGCTAGCATGCCGAGATCCTGGTCCTAACTGAGACCTCTGGGCATTAGCACTTACTTAACAAGGTTTTAACAAATGTACTGAATTTCAGCAGGTTGTTAGAATTAAGTGGAACTTAGGTTCCTCGTGCAGAATTTAAATTTCTCATTAAGTAGAACTTAAATTCCTCATTGATGACAGTGTTGACAACAGTGTAATGATTTGCAGAGCAACCCAGTGATTTAATGAATGCATATGCAGCAGAGAAATACTAATTTGGTACTGATAGCATCCTTCACAACCTTTGTTTTCCCTTTTGGGAAACACTTCAGCTTCTCTAATAGCATAAAAATTTACAAATGCTTCAAAAAAGGATCAGTCTACCTATTTTGTGCCAAATGGGAAAACTGTATCAGTATTTTGAAGTCATAATTCCACTGATAATTTAATCTATGCTTGAGGCGAGACATAGACTCCAGTTAAAAGCAATTACAGATGGTCATAGAAAGGATTTAGTCTGGGAGGTCACAATATTAGCAGAACAAGATGTAAGTAGGGTATTAAAAATTTAGCATACTCTGGGGTTTTTTTTAGATGTTTCTGCGTGCTGACTTATTTGGAAGTAAATTATGTCCTCAGAGATGGTATTTGGATTGACAAGATTATATTTTATCACAGCACAAGGGTTTTGTAATGCTTATTTTTAAAAAAATGTGAGGCTAACAATGTAAAGTATTTAGCAAAGCAGAAGACTGATTGCAGTTCTAATCGGATGAAAACTTGAGCTGTTTTTACCAATGACTAGCTATCTAAATAAAGGACATTTTACTTTTTTGAACAATGCCACACTGTCTATCTAAAACAATACCATGTTAGATGTATAGAAAGCTTTATTAAAAATAAAAGCATGGCATTATTATATGTGGATATAATGGAATACTTATACACACATGCGTACACACATATTAATTATACATATATACATGCATTAAAATGTCCATTATACATATATGAAAACAAGTTATTATCCACATATGTATAAATACATCGTTTTCCATTATATGTACATACATTATATACTGTTTGTATAGTATATAATGTATGTACATATAATGGAAAACGATGTATTTATGCATATATATGGATATTTTTGTATTCATATACATGTATAATGGACATTTTAATGTGTGTATGTATATGCACATAATGTATGTGCAAATATGGTATATGGCATTACGTGTATGTGTGTAATATATGCGCATGCACTTATATATGCTATATATGGCATTGTGTGTGTATACATACTATGTATGTATGTTATGTATATATATTTGTGTGTATTTTTAATACCCTACCCTAAATATTTTTAATACCCTACTACGTGTGTGTGTGTGTGTGTGTGTGTGTGTATGTATATGTATATATATATGTGTATATGTATATGTGTATGTATATATATATGTGTGTATATATATATGTGTGTATATCGGAAGGAACGAATGTATTTTTCTGCTTCTCCTCTTCAGATGCCTAAGCGGATCTTTCTTAGCAAGGCTGTAGCAGACAAAGGAGCCGAAGATGAAAACCTGGACTGAGTGACTCGAGCCATGTAAGTAAGGCTCGGGGCACGTGACGGGGTCGCAGCCGTCTGCCGGGGCACACCAAGCCGCAGGCGCTGTCCCACGGCAGGGCCCCCGGCTGCACCCGTGCAGCGAGCCCAGCGGGGGGAAGGTGAAATAAGGCGAACAAGGGAGCCCGTCAGCCGTGGCCTGGATCCAGCCGCGGGCACGGAAGCCTCCGCCCGGCACCAGCTCTCTGCCACTACGCTGCTGCCGCGGGCCGGCCCCGGCCTGGAGAGCCTCCCGGCCCTGGGCGACTGGGGCAGGGGCAAGGCGCGGGGCCTCGCTGGGCGCAGCGGCGAGCTGCGCGGGGGCCGGAGTGTGCACGTGGGGGCGGCCCCGCCCGGTCCCCTCACCTTGCCCGGCACCCCG